TCTAAAGCGTAAATTTAATTTAAGTTTGGTTTTTAGACAATCTGTTTTAATGTTAGCGTGTTTCTTATATGTTGTAAGCGCCCTGAGCCACCTCGCGGGGTAGGGCGGGATAGAAGTCTAAATAAATAAATAAATACACAAATAAATAAAAAATAGAAAACTAGAAGCCAAGGAGAAGCCTAGGGAAAAAAACTAGAAGCCTAATCCTCTCCCAGATGGGCACGTTTTCTGTATTCAAGGAGTACTTTTATACAGTGGATCCTTCAAATATTGCAGATACGACCATACAATCGGAAGTGATTTTATCCGGGAACAATGTTTCTATGCTGTGAGCGGTTCTTCTGGAAAATTGGCCTTCAGCCCATTGGTTGGGACCTCGCATGGGTCATGAAGATCCCTCTGGCTGGTTAACAGTGCTTCTAGAGGATCGCTTTTTCCTCTGCCTTTCTTCATATGTATACAGAGAAGGGTAGCCAGATAGCAAGGTGAGGTCACTCAGTGGTGGAGAAAATTCCTTGCAAGAACAAGCAGGTTCAGCAACCCCCTCCCAAGCTATCCTTTGAGTCTCACTCCCTGCTCCCCCATCTCTTCACTCTGTCCACTATCCATACCCAGAAGAGAAGAGATTGGATTTATACCCCGCACTCCAGTATCTAAAGGAGTCTCAGAGCGGTTTACGAACTCCTTTCCCTTCCTTTCCCCACAACAGATACCTTGTGAGGTAGGTGGGGCCGAGAGAGCTCTCTCGAGAACTGCTAGTGAGGGAAGAGCTCTGAACGAACTTGTAACTGACCCAGGGTCACACCAGCAGCTGCACGTGGAGGAGCGGGGAATCAAACCCGGTTCTCCCAGATTAGAGTCTGCACTCCTAACCACTGCACCAAACTGGCTCTCACTTTCAGAAGTCAGTCTTCGAATGCTCCATGCCCATGAATACACTCAGAGCTCCACTCCTCCAGAAAAGCTGACCATTCGTGGAGGGGGGTTCCAGACGGCTAACATAGGATGGGAGCATTCGACTGTCAGGCAATGGCCAAGCCACATCAGGGGGAGAAAGAAGGGAAGAGAGAACTTTTTGTAAGAAGTGGGGCTCTGCACCGGAAGCACACACAGAGCTTTGGGGGACTGGTGTGGATTGGGGCTGGCCGAAGTGGGCTTGTGCTGACCTGGATGGCTCAGGCTAGCCAGCCTCCTCAGACCTTGGAAGCTAAGCAGGGGCAGCCATGGTTAGTACTTGGACGGGAGACCACCAAGGCAGTCCGAGGTAGCAACGCAGAGGCTGGCAATGGTACATCCTATGGGAAGGCCCAGGCTAGCCTAGTCTCATCAGATCTTGGAAGCTAAGCTGGATTTGGCCCTGGTTAGTACTTGGACGGGAGACCACCAAGGCAGTCCGAGGTAGCAACGCAGAGGCTGGCAATGGTACATCCTATGGGAAGGCCCAGGCTAGCCTAGTCTCATCAGATCTTGGAAGCTAAGCTGGATTTGGCCCTGGTTAGTACTTGGACGGGAGACCACCAAGGCAGTCCGAGGTAGCAACGCAGAGGCTGGCAATGGTACATCCTATGGGAAGGCCCAGGCTAGCCTAGTCTCATCAGATCTTGGAAGCTAAGCTGGATTTGGCCCTGGTTAGTACTTGGACGGGAGACCACCAAGGCAGTCCGAGGTAGCAACGCAGAGGCTGGCAATGGTACATCCTATGGGAAGGCCCAGGCTAGCCTAGTCTCATCAGATCTTGGAAGCTAAGCTGGATTTGGCCCTGGTTAGTACTTGGACGGGAGACCACCAAGGCAGTCCGAGGTAGCAACGCAGAGGCTGGCAATGGTACATCCTATGGGAAGGCCCAGGCTAGCCTAGTCTCATCAGATCTTGGAAGCTAAGCTGGATTTGGCCCTGGTTAGTACTTGGACGGGAGACCACCAAGGCAGTCCGAGGTAGCAACGCAGAGGCTGGCAATGGTACATCCTATGGGAAGGCCCAGGCTAGCCTAGTCTCATCAGATCTTGGAAGCTAAGCTGGATTTGGCCCTGGTTAGTACTTGGACGGGAGACCACCAAGGCAGTCCGAGGTAGCAACGCAGAGGCTGGCAATGGTACATCCTATGGGAAGGCCCAGGCTAGCCTAGTCTCATCAGATCTTGGAAGCTAAGCTGGATTTGGCCCTGGTTAGTACTTGGACGGGAGACCACCAAGGCAGTCCGAGGTAGCAACGCAGAGGCTGGCAATGGTACATCCTATGGGAAGGCCCAGGCTAGCCTAGTCTCATCAGATCTTGGAAGCTAAGCTGGATTTGGCCCTGGTTAGTACTTGGACGGGAGACCACCAAGGCAGTCCGAGGTAGCAACGCAGAGGCTGGCAATGGTACATCCTATGGGAAGGCCCAGGCTAGCCTAGTCTCATCAGATCTTGGAAGCTAAGCTGGATTTGGCCCTGGTTAGTACTTGGACGGGAGACCACCAAGGCAGTCCGAGGTAGCAACGCAGAGGCTGGCAATGGTACATCCTATGGGAAGGCCCAGGCTAGCCTAGTCTCATCAGATCTTGGAAGCTAAGCTGGATTTGGCCCTGGTTAGTACTTGGACGGGAGACCACCAAGGCAGTCCGAGGTAGCAACGCAGAGGCTGGCAATGGTACATCCTATGGGAAGGCCCAGGCTAGCCTAGTCTCATCAGATCTTGGAAGCTAAGCTGGATTTGGCCCTGGTTAGTACTTGGACGGGAGACCACCAAGGCAGTCCGAGGTAGCAACGCAGAGGCTGGCAATGGTACATCCTATGGGAAGGCCCAGGCTAGCCTAGTCTCATCAGATCTTGGAAGCTAAGCTGGATTTGGCCCTGGTTAGTACTTGGACGGGAGACCACCAAGGCAGTCCGAGGTAGCAACGCAGAGGCTGGCAATGGTACATCCTATGGGAAGGCCCAGGCTAGCCTAGTCTCATCAGATCTTGGAAGCTAAGCTGGATTTGGCCCTGGTTAGTACTTGGACGGGAGACCACCAAGGCAGTCCGAGGTAGCAACGCAGAGGCTGGCAATGGTACATCCTATGGGAAGGCCCAGGCTAGCCTAGTCTCATCAGATCTTGGAAGCTAAGCTGGATTTGGCCCTGGTTAGTACTTGGACGGGAGACCACCAAGGCAGTCCGAGGTAGCAACGCAGAGGCTGGCAATGGTACATCCTATGGGAAGGCCCAGGCTAGCCTAGTCTCATCAGATCTTGGAAGCTAAGCTGGATTTGGCCCTGGTTAGTACTTGGACGGGAGACCACCAAGGCAGTCCGAGGTAGCAACGCAGAGGCTGGCAATGGTACATCCTATGGGAAGGCCCAGGCTAGCCTAGTCTCATCAGATCTTGGAAGCTAAGCTGGATTTGGCCCTGGTTAGTACTTGGACGGGAGACCACCAAGGCAGTCCGAGGTAGCAACGCAGAGGCTGGCAATGGTACATCCTATGGGAAGGCCCAGGCTAGCCTAGTCTCATCAGATCTTGGAAGCTAAGCTGGATTTGGCCCTGGTTAGTACTTGGACGGGAGACCACCAAGGCAGTCCGAGGTAGCAACGCAGAGGCTGGCAATGGTACATCCTATGGGAAGGCCCAGGCTAGCCTAGTCTCATCAGATCTTGGAAGCTAAGCTGGATTTGGCCCTGGTTAGTACTTGGACGGGAGACCACCAAGGCAGTCCGAGGTAGCAACGCAGAGGCTGGCAATGGTACATCCTATGGGAAGGCCCAGGCTAGCCTAGTCTCATCAGATCTTGGAAGCTAAGCTGGATTTGGCCCTGGTTAGTACTTGGACGGTAGACCACCAAGGACGTCCAAGGTCACCCTGCAGAGGCAGACAGTGGCAAACCCCTATGGAGTTGCCATAAGTTGGCTGCAACTTGATGGCACAAGCTGGGCTTGATTGGGGCGTGCTGGGCAGAAGCTGAAAGAGAGAAAGCAAGGTAGAGTTTTCAGCATGGGATGGGTGCGTTGAAGGTGCTGGAAAACTTGGAAAGGCCACTGATCTAGGATACCTTGGACTTCCCAAGAAGAACACTAAAGAGTGATTAACACATGGAATTCACTGCCACAGGAGGTGGTGGCGGCGACAAGCATGGATGGCTTCAAGAGGGAATTGGATAAACATATGGAGCAGAGATCCATCAGGGGCTATGAGTCACAAGATATAAAAAGGAACTCTGGGTCTGGGGCAAGTGATGCTCTGTATTCTTGGTGCTGGGAGGGGAGAATAGTGGGAGGGCTTCTAGTGTCCTGGCCCCACTGCTGGAGCTCCTGGTGGCACCTGGTATTTTTGGCCACTGTGTGACAGAGTGTTGGACAGGATGGGCCATTGGTCTGATCCAACATTGGCTTCTCTCATGTTCTTATAGACGGAACCCTCTGTCTGGGGCAAGTGATGCTCTGTCTTCTTGGTGCTTGGGGGGGGGGCAACAGTGGGAGGGCTTCTAGTGTCCTGGCCCCACTGCTGGAGCTCCTGAAGGCACCTGGTATTTTTGGCCACTGCGTGACAGAGTGTTGGACAGGATGGGCCATCGGTCTGATCCAACATTGGCGTCTCTTATGTTCTTAAGTGACAGAATGATCATTTAGGCTACTTAATTTCTCTCTGTGAACAATGGCAAAATCAATTACACCTGATTTTTTTCACAGGGTTGATCCGTTTAAGTGTTATTAGCACCACTTAATTCACTCAAGCCTGCACAGATACTGAATTAAGCCCATTCCGATCTCACAGATCAGAGGCATCGCTTGGACTTTGGTGAGCAATGCATCATTAGGATACTTCCGGCAAAAAAGCTAAATGCTAATCCGTGATTATCCCATCGAGAGAGTCTTGTTTCCCCCTCATCATTAGAAGAAGACACATTAGAAAGATGAACGAAGAATGCAGCTGAAGCAATTAGCCTGTATCTACAAGGCAGAGTTTGCAGACTGTATTTGCGTGCCTCTGACCGAACGCACAATGAATGGCGTGACATGGAGCAGCGGAGGATGTTAATTACATACCTGGAACCGTCCACCTGGTCTTTCCTTTTTGGGAAAATGGGAAGCAGTAAGAGAGAAAGAAAGCAAGGAGAAAGGGAGTGTGTGTTAACTTCAGCCAGACAGGGCAGTCAATCATGGGGCAGCGTTCTTTGACTGTTCATCTCCTAGCTACGAAAAAGACTCCTTTTGTTTCCCCCGAGCCCCTTTTAGACCACAAATTGGCAACGGGGTGGACTCATCAGCAAGAATGAGGCAGACCCTTTGAGTGGCAAATGAAGGGGGATCCAATAAAAGAAAGCCCTTTGCATATTATTGCAAAGCTGAAGAAGAGCTAATTGTTACCCGATTGAGTGGTACATTTTTATTTTCTTCCAACAAATGTCCGGGAGGACCAATTTGCTTTCCTGCCTTGGACATAAAAATGTTGAGAACGGCCCCAGCTGGCTAAATGTGCACTCCAAACCCAAAGCAGTTTTAGACAAACATCACCTTTATGGATTTCCCCTAGGGAAAACGGGGGGAAGTCGAATGTGATGAGCGTCCAGGACAGGAAGAAGCACTTGTGACCCAGGGGTCTGGGACCAGACTTGAACTCAGTGCCAGAATTCCATTACTGGAAATGAAAATGTGTAATTTGGCCCTAAAGGCAGCAGCTAGAAAGTGTCTGAACCAAGAGGAAGGTGGGGGGGGGGAGAGAGATAGACAGACTGATAGATGATGGATGGATAGATAGATTAGATAGATAGATTAGACAGACAGGCAGGCAGGCAGATAGATGATGGATGGATGGATGGATGGATGGATGGATGGATAGGTGGATGGATGGATGGATAGGTGGATGATGGATGGACGGACAAACAGATGGATAGAATAGATAGACAAATTAGATAGATAGATGATAGATTAGACAGACAGACAGATAGATGATGGGTGGATGGATGGATAGATTAGATAGATAGGAAGGCAGGCAGGCAGGCAGATAGATAATGGATGGATAGGTAGATGGATAGATGGATGGATGGATATTGATGGACAGACAGACAGATGATCGGTGGATAGATTAGATAGATTAGGCAGACAGACGGACGGACAGACAGACAAATAGATAAAAATTTGATGCTATGGAAAGGGGATAAAGTCTTCCCTATGTGCCATTTCCCCTATTAGAAATCCAGCTAATTTTAGCCCTAATCAAGGTTAAATACAGTACCCCATATCATGCCTGGGGAGGGGGGGGGAATTGGACCTGCTGCCCTTCCAGCCACTCCGTGCCCTTTTTGGTAAAGCTGACTCCACCCGCTATCTCCTGCTTCTCGCGTTCGACTTGGATAGGAGGGAGTGGTTGAGCTGTACGAAGCAGGGGGACTTCTCTGGGCTGGAGACTTGCCTGAAATACGGGAATGATATGATTGATTCATAAAACCTCCAAGTGGCGACGAGGTCCAGCCTGTTAGGATTCGTAGCATAGTACCTCCAGGCAGCCTAAGGAACAGAAGAGAAACGACACGATCAGCAGGGAAGGAGGGCGATTGGTTTTGCTAGATGTCCAAGCAAATGCATTGGGGTTCACCCTGTTTCTAGACTTCCACTGAAAAGTTCAAAGACACAACATGTTTGGACCAGGAACTCCTTTGAATATTAGGCGACACACCCCTAATGTAGCCAACCCTCCAAGAGCTTACAGTAGCCCCTGTAAGAAGAGCTCTGTATGCTCTTGGAGGATTGGCTACATTAGGGGTGTGTGGCCTAATATTCAAAGGAGTTCCTGCTACAAAAAGAGCCCTGGATGGGAGGCCACCAAAGATGTCCAGAGTGGCAATAGCAAACCACCTCTGAATGTCTCTTGCCTTGAAGAATAGAAGAGTTGAAGAAGAGTAGGTTTTTCTACCTTGTGTTTTTGTACTTTAAGGAGTCCCAAAGCAGCTTACACTCTCCTTCCCTTCCTCTCCCCACAATAATACCTTTCGATTTATTGATCGCTCATCCTGCAGAGCTGCTGGCTCTGAGCGATTTACAATTAGTCAAGTTTTCACATGGGACTAACAATGATTCATAGGGTAAGGGAGGACAACATATAATTCTTTCAATCGCACACTTTTGCAGCTGACGGGGATTTTGTTCAGCTGTAAGCTTCAGGCGTGTTCCGGGCGGCATTCACTTTCGGCTTGGCTGGATGACATCAGTTCTTCCTGGGCTGCTTTGAGTCGTAGTGCTGCACTGCCACCGCCTGGCCGGATTGGCCCATCACAGGCTTCTTAATGCTGAAGAGGTCTTTTTTCCAGGCTTCCGAGCTTACGAACTGGACCGTCCATTTGCCGGCTAACACCTCCCCCACGGGGGTTTAGTATGCCCACCCTCTCTAAGGAGTGGTACCCATTTTATCTACTCACCGAAGCTTTCGAACCGCTGGGTGGACGGCGAGCTGGGGACAAGGCTGGTAGCTCACACCAGCGCGGGCTAGAACTGACAGCAGCTCTGTTCAGTTCACTAGAGGATGTTAACTAGAGGATAAATCCTCTGTGCCACAGCTCCCCAACAGGCACCTTATGAGGTAGGTGGGGCTGAGAGAGCTCAGACAGAACTGTTCTTGAGAGAACAGCTCTGAGAGAACTGTGACTGATCCAAGGTCACCCAGCTGGCTGCATGTGGAGGAGTGGGGAATCAAACCCGGCTCTCCAGATTAGAGTCCGCTGCTCTTAACCACTACATCACTACAGGGTCCTCAACTTGATGGCATTTTCCACCAGAACCAGGGTGATTGGGGGCAGGAAATGTATATGCCATGCTAAGCATGTGACAATTTATCGCTGGCTCGGCTAGAGACCGACAGGTATTCTTTTTTGTATTCTGTTTTATATGAGCTGGGGGCCCGCGGGAACTTGCAGGAGAAGGACCTAGATGGAACCCCTCCAGCAATCTTGTCAGGCTAGCCCAATCTAATCAGATCTCAGAAGCTAAGCAGGGTCGGCCCTGACTAGTATTTTGATGGGAGACCGTCAAGGAATACCAGGGCTGTGATGCAGAGACAGGCAATGGCAAACCACCTCTGAACATCTCTTGCCTTGAAAACCCCACTAGTGGTCACCATAATTCATCTGCAACTTGACAGCAGTTTCCACTGTCACCAACATTCCCCTCTGAATGACTTTCAACTGCCCTCAGTGCTGCTTGCCTCCTAGAGTATGCTCAGTCCTCCTTTTTGGTCTGTTTTTACTTTTGGTTGATTTGCATCACCATTTTTCCTTTTCTTTTTTGCATTTCTGGGGAGGCTGGGGAATTTCTGGGGAATGATATCTTTTGATGGTTGGCATGGATGCCAGCCCCTTAATAATTCTATCTGTCTGTCTTTCTGTCTGTCTGTCTAGTGGTAGTTCCGCTCTGTTCTGCTCTGGTTAGGCCTCACCTGGAGTCCTGTGTCCAGTTCTGGGCACCACATTTGAGGAAGGATGTTGACAAGCTCAAGCGTGTCCAGAAGAGGGCAACCAGGATGGTGAGAGGGTTGGGATCCAAGTCTTACGAGGAAAGGCTGAAAGAGTTGGGTATGTTTAGCCTGGGAAAGAGAAGGCTTAGAGGGGACATGATTGCAGTCTTCAACTATCTGAAGGGCTGCCATGTAGAAGATGGAGCAGATGTATTCTCTCTTGCTCCGGATTGCAAGACTAGATCTAATGGGTGGAAATTACAAGGGAGTCGTTACCGGCTAAATATCAGGAGAAACTTCCTAACTGTAAGAGTGGTTGAGCAGTAGAATAGTCTGCCCTGGGAGGTGGTGGATGCTCCTTCGCTGGACGTTTTCAAGAGGAGGCTGGACGACCGTCTTTCGGGTATGTTGTAGGGCTATCTTTCGGCTATGCTCCTGCAGAGTGCAGGGGGTTGGACTAGATGACCCGCAAGGTCTCTTCCAACTCTAATATTCTATCTATCTATCTATCTATCTATCTATCTATCTATCTATCTATCTACCTACCTACCTACCTACCTACCTACCTACCTACCTATCATCTATCTGGATTTTGCTATGTGTGTGTGAGAGCCGTCAAGTCATGGCTGACTTATGGTGACCCCGCAGGGTTTTCAAGGCAAGAGATGTTCAGAGATGGTTTGCCATAGCCTGCCTCCATGGCATGACCTTGGGCTTCCTTGGAGGTCTCCCATCCAAATACAAGCCAGGGCCGACCCTGCTTAGCTTCTGAGATCTGATGAGATCAGGCTATCCTGGGCTATCCAGGTCAGGGATGATTCCTCTATAACCCTGTAGAAAAGGACAGCACAACCTCGGGGGGGGGGGCGGGGAAAACAGGGACTGACAAATTGTTTCTCTCTGGCAGGAGATGCCGATGCAAATGAATTAATACCCCACTTTGCATGTTTCCCCAGGCTCAGCAGTCACCGGAAAGAGAGTCAGCGGAGTTGTTCAGAACCTGGCCAGTGGTTGTAACAATTAAATCCACACATCTAATTAGTGCTGCAGCAGAAACGTAGAATTATAACCATTTCCCACTTAATGGTCTTTATTTGTGCATTACGGGAATTTATAGTCTGGCTGGACGACGTGTGCGTGCCAGCTAAGATCTTTCCAGCCAAATAATGTGCATTTGCTTTCTAAGAGCTGGGCGACTGCACGCAGGTTTTGTGGCACGGGTCTGTTTCAACGATAAACCGGGGTCTGGCCTGTACCACTCCTAGGGTTGCCAGCTCCGGGTTTGGAAATACCTGGGGATTTTAGGGGTGGAGACCAAAGAGGGCGGGGTTTGTGGAGGGGAGGACTGCAGTGGGGTAGAATGCCACAGAGCCCGTCTTCCAAAGCAGACATTTTCTCTAGGTGAACTGATCTCTGTCACCTGAGATCAATTGTAATCCCGGGAGATCTCCAGCCACCACCTGGAAGTTGGCAACCACACCCACAGGTGAAGGAGGCACTGCATGATTCTACACTCCTCCCAACCGGAAAAAATCGCTTTACATGGAAAATGAAATGTCAAGGGGAAGGAAGCTGGGCTAGAACTCTTCTTTCCGACCTGCCAGGATGCTTCTTCCCATGTGTTGCATTCTTCATAGGGCAGGCATCAGCATACCCTGAGGTAGGGCATTTGCCAAGGCCCCAGGCTTCTGGTGGGGCCCACCGCCATTTTGCCCATGTCCCTGCCCAGCCTTTGGCCTGTTTGTCCTCCCCCCCCCATTCTCTGTTTGACACTTCACCACCAATGCTCCCTCTAAGCTGTGGAGTCTTGTGAGCAAAAATTCTACTTTGTGAGCTGCTGGCATTAAAATTGTGAGCGAGGGATTTGGCTATTGCGTCAATTAGTTTGCTCTGGAGCCCCATCCTTCCTGAGCTGAGACAGAAATGTAAGAGCCGGAGGCTAAAAAACTGAGCTAGCTCACACTAACTCATCTTAGAGGGAACACTGTTCACCACCCGTGGGCCCTGCCACATGGGCCTGCCAGGAACTCCTTTGCATATTAGGCCACACCCCCTAATGCAGCCAATCCTCCAAGAGCTTACAGAGCTCTTCTTACAGGAGCTACTGTAAGCTCTTGGAGGATTGGCTACATTAGGGGTGTGTCACTTAATATGCAAATGATTACCTGCTACAAAAAGAGCCCTGCGCCGGTGCCATTGGAGAAAGGGCTTAAGGGAGGGTTTGTGGGGGGAAGAAGAAGGACGTTTAGGCAGCTGGCTGGGCAGGAAAAGAGGTGTCGGTGGTGGCAGGCAGAGAGGAGGCGGCCCCTGGGCCACGAGCCAGTTGGTGTAGTGAGCCAGTCTGGTGTGGCGGTGGTTTGGTGTAGTGTTGTGAGCCAGTTTGGTGTCGTGGTCAAGTGCGCGGACTCTAATCTGGGAGAACCGGGCTTGATTCCCCCCTCCTCCACATGCAGCTGCTGGATGACCTTGGACAAGCCGTAGTTCTGATAAGAGCTGTTCGTGAAAAAAGAGCAGTTTCTGTCAAGAGCTCTCTCAGCCTCACCTACCTCACAGGGTGTCTGTTGTGGGGAGGGGAAGGGAAAGGAGTTTGTAAGCTGCTCTGAGACTCTGAGTGAAGGGCAGGGTATAAATCCAATCTTCTCCTCCTCTCCTCCTCCTCTCTGCCCAGGGCCCATCAAAACCTGTAACCTTCCCAGCTTGTGGGCAGACCCAGAAAGGTCCGGAGGACTTTGTAATGTGTCATTAGGCATAAAGGCCTACATCTTGTAGCCTGGCTCCACAATGAGCTATCCATGGTCCTGACCTCTTGCTGAAAACCATGGACTCCTAGCCATGCTTTGTCAGCACACTCCTGAAGGTTTTGACCTCCAATAAGAGGTGGCACAAGCCCCAGAGGGAAGGGAAAGTATTTAAAGTTAAAATACCTTCCCTCCGCTGGGGAGGCGCACCACAGCTGCTTGCCTCTGCAGTGAAGAAAAGGCATTTCAACTTTAAATACCTCCCCTTCCCTCTGGGGCTTGTGCCGCCTACACAGCATGACTCCCTAGCGAAGCAGAAGTATTTAAACTTTGAATACCTTCACTTTCCTCTGTGGTGTGACTCCCCACAGTGGTGGCACAAGTCCAAGAGGGAATGGGAGGTATTTAAATTAAAAATACATTCCCTTCATTCACCGAGCCGTGTCGCAGCATGGCTCAGTGAGTAAAAATCTACATTATACTCTATGGGGACGGTCCCCATAAGATATAACGGATACGAATAATTCGGGTTTCCGAATATTGACCCGAATACCAGTGGAATACCGATACCACAACTCCTCCCCTAAATAAGACGTGCAGACTCATAATTCTCTAACTCTGATTTAAGGGAGTTCCATACAAAAGGAGAACCATCAGTGTTGGAAGGGCGATTAGGAATGGGGCTGTGCCTCTGAGGAAAAGGCTCTGCTTGGCATGCAGAAGGTCCCAGGTTCAATCCCCGGTATCTCCAGTTAAAAAGGACCAGGCAGTAGGTGATGTGAAAGATCTCTCAGCCTGAGACCCTGGAGAGCTGCTGCCAGTCTGAGTAGACAATACTGATCTTGATGGACCAGGGGTCTGATTCAGTAGAAGGCAGCTTCAGGTGTGTTCAATGGGCCACTTGCAGGTCTCAGCCTTATCCCTTTCTGGAACCAATCCTACATAGATAGTCCATTAACAGCAACAGTAGCTGATTAAGGTTGCTATCCTAAGCACAAGTTTTTAGAAAGAAGCGCCTTTGTCATTAACGGGATCTCATTCTAAATCTACCTTTTTAGACCACAGATGTCTTTTGTGGTTGAGTTTCTTTAAATACGAAAGGGTTTCCGGTGTTCTGCTACAGCATTCAATGAATGTGTAGTTCATTCTCTAACAAATGAACTATCTGTGGACACAGAAACAGTTCCCTTATGGTTGTTCCACTGAGCAGTTAGCTCCCATGGATTTCAGAGGATCACAGATCAAGCGTCTTCCCAGCACACAAGGAAGCAGCAGAGAGTCCAAACCTGTATGAGTTCTGCAGCTGGCTTTCGTCTCTTCTCAAAGTGCTTCTGGCGATGCTGTTCCTGCACTTTCAAAGCTAGGCCTGAACCCAAAATGCCCTGGAAGCAAAAAAGGGGAAATCGGGAACATCAAAACAAGATCAGATGCAAGATCATTTGTGGATAGGCAGGGGGTTGTTATTTGAATGGAAGCAGAAGCTCCTCTTGCCCAGCAGGGGTCAGCCTTGTCCAGGTGGGGAAGGGAAAGGAAACCAAGAAGACATGTTAAGACTAGGCCCAATCATGGTGCCCTCTTGGCTGCTGGGGAGGTTACAGCCCCGTGACTCTCACCAGTGAAAGTTCGTGGAAGTCTACCACGATGGTGGAAGTTCGTGGAAGTCTAGCACAATGGTGGAAGTTCATGGAAGTCTACCACAATGGTGGAGGTTCATGGAAGTCTACCACAATGGTGGAAGTTCATGGAAGTCTACCACAATGGTGGAAGTTCATGGAAATCCACTATTTCTACATATGTGTGCTGTATCTCATAGTTTCCCCCTTTCCTCCAGCTCCAGTCACAACTGGAGTTTCCCTTTCCACAGACAAGTGTTTTCCATAATATTTTAACACAATCCAGGAGGATTTGTTTGGCAGTAGTCATCAAAGACAGAGGGAGTTATTTCTTCACATAAGAAGTCCATGAAGCTACCTTCTACCGAAGTAGACCACTGGTCCATCATGGTTAGTATTGTATATTCTGACTGGCAGAAGTCTCCAGGGTCTCAGGCAGAGGTCTTTCATATCACCCACTACCTTTTTAACTACACATGCCGGGGATTGAACCTGGGACCTCCTGTAGGTAAAGCAGGTGCTCTACCCCTGAGCAACAGCCCCACCCCATGCACAATGAACCTTGTCACACAACCCTTTGATGCCAACCATCACATGGCTTTCTACCAATAATTAGATAAGCTAATGGATAACGGTTCTATCTATAGCAATGATAGATAATGGGGCTTCAATGTTTAGTGGCAGTATACCTTTAACCTGCAGCCACTTGTTGGTCACCATCATGCTTTTCTTGTGCGCTTCCCAAGGGACCTAGCTGACCTCCAAAGAGCTCAGAGCAACACATGCAAGGTTAGAACGTCTTCATAACACCTACCAGAGAGAGGACTCTTAAGCGGGTCTACTCTAAATCCTACTCAGGTCGATTCCATGGGGCTTACTCCCGGGAAAGCAAGACTGCATGGTAAGAAATGTGGATGGACCTAAGGCCACCCTTTGAGCTTTACAATGGATCCGGGGATTGTATATGACATCTCCCTATGAGAAAAGGCTGAGGACTCTGCAGCTTTTCTGTTTAGAAAAGGGATGACTAGGGGGGGGGCATGGCAGAGGCTTATAACATTATGCACAGGGTGGAGAGAGTGGGCAAAGAGAACTTTTTCTCCTTCTCCCAAAATACTAGAACTCAAGGGCATCCAATGAAGCTGATGGGCAGTAGGGTTCAGGACGGACAAAAGGAAATACTAGATAGATTAGATAGATTCGTGGAGGTTAGATCTATCAGTGGCTACTAGCCGTTGTGACTAAAGAGAACCTCCACATTCGGAGGCAGTCAGCCTCTGAATACCAGTGGAAGGAGTCAACGTCAGGGGAAGATCTTGGCCTCTCTGCCCTGTTGTTGGCCCTCCAGAGGAACTGGTTGGCCACTGTGTGAGACAGGCTACTGGACCAGATGGACCACTGGTCTGATCCAGCACGGGTCTTCTTCTGTTCTAATGAAAGCCTCAGCCTCTATGCCCTATTGTTGGTTATGCAGAGGAACTGGTTGGCCACTGTGTGAAAAAGGATGCTGGACTAGATGGACCACTGGTCTGATCCAGTAGGGCTCTTCTAAAGTTCTTATGTTCCCTACCCCAAAGCCTCCCATTTCAACTGCTCCATCCCACCAGCCCTCATGAGGTCACCAACAGGACTTACGGCTGGAAGAGCAAAAAACGAAACTCCAATAAGAGAGAAAGTTGCTGCGATCAGGCGTCCTTCCCATGTTTTGGGGGTCTTATCACCATAGCCGATGGTTGCCAGCGTAATCTGTGGGAGGAACATTTGGGACAGTCTGTAAAAAGGCGACCCAAATGGACAAAGAGAATGACAACTTGTACAGCCAGATTTCCACTCCCAGGATAGCCCAGAATACCATCAGATCCCGGAAGCTAAGCAAGGTTGGTCTTGGCTAGTATTTCGAAGAGCGACCTCCAAAAACTACCAGAAGTGTGACGCAGAGGCAGGCAACAGCAAACCACCTCTGAATCGTCTCTTGTCTTAAAAACAAGTCTAGCTCGCCACCTAGTGGTGCACAATGCTAAAAGAGCTAGAACTTCTGGCCGCCAGACAATCTTAGGATCTCCTGGCTATTCTACACACATCGTCTATTGCCTTAAAAACAAGTCTAGCTCGCCACCTAGTGGTGCACAATGCTAAAAGAGCTAGAACTTCTGGCCGCCAGACAATCTTAGGATCTCCTGGCTATTCTACACACAGTGCCATACATTAATTATTATTACTCCACTCCCAGGGTCCCCATCCTTTATTTTATTTAGTTAGTTAGACAGCAGGTTGATATACTGCTTCTTAAGAGCCCGGCTCAAGCTGGCTAAGACAACCAAATGATACAATAAAATCATTATGCCCTGATCTAAGAAGCTAAGCAGGGTTGGTTAGTACTTGGATGGGAGACCACCCAGGAAGTCCAAGGTGCTGGCAAACTACCTATGTTAGTCTCTTGCCTTGAAAACCCTATGGGGGTGCCATAAATCGGCTGCGACTTGACGGCACTTCACCCCCCCTCCCCACACACACACAATGAAATCATAAAGGGCTGCCTCAAAATGAACTCCTGAGAAGAAGCCGTAAAAGCCGTAGCATAAAAACAATGCGCAACAATGCTTGGCAGCTTAAAACGATAGTCGTAAACCAGTCCTCAAGCCAGCAGCGGATCATAAAAACAGCCCCAAGGAAAATTGAAGCCTCCAGTGGATAAAGCCAGGATAAAAAGAAACATTTTGACTGGGCACCTAACAGAAAGTAACACAGGGGTGTAGAGGGCCTCGAAGAGGAATTTATTTTTATTTATTTTATTTACCTTTCAGTTTCTATACCGCTCTAACCCCGAAGGGTCTCTGAGCGGTCTGCATACATTACAATTCCTAACTAGGGCCACATAGTCTCGGGGAGGTGAATGCCTATCAGGCACCCTACCGGCTATTTTTTTGATGTTCCCTCCTCCGGGGCTCTTCTGCATTCCAGAATAGGGTTGCCAACCTTCAGGTGCATCCTGGAGAGGTCCCAGAACTACCGGTGATCTCCGGACTACAGAGATCAGCTCCCCGGAAAGAAATGGGGCAGCTTTGGAAGGCGGACTGTACGAGAGAGCCAGCTTGGTGTAGAGGTTCAGAGCGGCGGACTCTAATCTGGAGAACCAGGTTTGAGTCCCCACTCCTCCACATGCAGCCAGCTGGGTGACCCTGGGTCAGTCACAGCTCTCTCAGAGCTCCCTCAGCCCTGCCTACCTCACAGGGTGTCTGTTCTGGAGAGAGGAAGGAAAGGGGATGTTAGTCTCTTGCCTTGTAAGACACTCTGAGACTCCGAATGAAGGGTGGGGTATAAATCCAATCTCCTCCTCCTCCTCCTCCTCTTCTTCTAGGTCAAAACCACCAGCCTGCATTGCCCAAATCTCCAGGAATTTCCCAGCCCAAAGTTGAGAATCCTATCTAGAAGCAAGGTGCCACCACCGGCAAAGCCCTGTCTCTGGCCGCTGCCTGTCTCACCTCTGCAGGCAGGGAAGACTGCAAAGAGCGGGGTTTGAGAAGAGGATCAGCCAGGACGTTACAGGAGCTGATGGGGTCCTTTAAGTACCCAAGCAGTTTAGGGTCTTAAAGCCAGTGTTCTGAGTTGTGCCCAGAGAAGACAGGCATCCCGTCTGGGCAGACATGCCTGCAGTGCTGGCCCTTTAAAAGGTTCCTGTCTTAGCCTGAGCTCTCTCTGTGGAGGCGAGTGCAAGAGGCTTAAGAAGAGAAGGGCAAAGGTTATACAAGCTAAAGTTGTCAGCTCTGGGTTGGGAAATTCCTGGCGATTTGGGGGTGGGTCCTGGGGAGAGAAGGGATCTCAGTGGGGGTATAATATCACAGCTTCTACTGTCCAAAGCAACCATTTTCTCCAGGGGAACTGATGTCTACTGTCTGGAGATTAGTTGTAATTCCAGGAGATCTCCAGGCCCCACCTGGAGGATGGCAACCCTAATGCAAGCCCTGTCCTCTCTGTTCCAAGGCCAACAGGAACCTGGAGAGTGTGACGCTAGAGGGTGCACCAGCACACCAGGCTCCTGACCCCTGCGCCCCCGAGCCTCGCTAAATGAAATCTGGGAACATATACTGCAAGTCATCATTATTACGATTACTTCACAATAGCGAGTTCACTATTCCTGTGGTTTTGTTTTTTTTTTATCCACAAATATGGAGGCCACAATAGACTGGGGCAAGAAAAATGAGGGGAAACCTGTAAACATAGTGGCTAAAGAAGGCTGAGGCAAGGAAAATGAGGGGAAACTTCCACAAACATGGAGGCCACAGAAGGCTGAGGCAAGGAAAGTGAGGGGAACCCTGTAAACATGGTGGCTAAAGAAGGCTGAGGCAAGGAAAGTGAGGGGAAACTTCCACAAATATGGAGGCCACAAAAGACTGAGGCAAGAAAAATGAGGGGAAACCTGTAAACATGGTGGCTAAAGAAGGCTGAGGCAAGGAAAGTGAGGGGAATCTTCTTTAAACATGGTACCCACACAAAGCTGAGGCAAGGAAAGTGAGGTGAAACTTCTCTAAACATGCTGGCTTAAGAAGGCCGAGGCAAGGAAAGGGAGGGGGAACTTCCACAAACATGAAGGCCACAAATAGCTGAGGCAAGGGAAATGAGGGGAAACTTCTGTAAACATGGTGGCTACAGAAGGCTGAAGCATGGGAAGTGAGGGGAAACTTCCACAAACATGGAGGCCACAGAAGGCTGAGGAAAGTGAGGGACAACTTCCGTGTGGATGTGTCATTGCCACGGCAAAGGCCTCTGCCTTCGTAGCAGCAATGAGAGCTACGCAGAGAACCATCTCCACGAGGAAGCAGTTCAAACAGAAGGGCTGCAGATACTGACCAGTCCCCACCATAGTGCATCGGCGTAGGTTTCAAACTCCTTCGTCTCCTTTCCCTCTGCATCTTTCTGAAACACATCCTTCTCCACCAGGTACACCAGGAACGAGGAGAGGATCAGAGTCAGGAATCCAATGTACCAGGCTGTGATGAGTTCCTAAGAATGAAACAAATCACCATTAACAAAGGATCCAGATCCATCTTCCAAAACACCATTAGTCAGATTGACAGAAAGCCAAGAGCCAGTCTGGACATTACATCCTGGCGACGGCGGTGCAACGCGTATCGCTGTCCCCCGCAGCAGGGATCCTGTGAAGAAGCACGGATCCCCTGCCGCGGCTTGGCAGCCCTACTAGTAAATTAATCAAATGCAGTCTGAAATAAAACTGCTTTTAGCTGCCTCCTAAAGTGAGGGGGGCAGGCACACCTCCCTGGGGAGGCTGTTCCATAATTGTGGGGCTGCCACTGTAAAGGCCCTGTCTTGCATCCCTATCAAGTGAGCTTCTTTGATTGATGGGACCGTCAGGAGGGCCTCTGCCTGTGATCATAATTTGGGGGAGGGACATACTGTAGGCCAATCACAAGGGCTGATCTTATCCATGCCTGTTCTCTCTTATGCATGTTGAAGGTGAGGACACCACATCACAGACCAGCCCAAGTCCCAGGCGCCGTTGCATGGTTCCAAATTCAAGGTTTAGAGTCCCTCGCCAGCAGAGCTGCAACAGTATTTTCAGTCTGCAGCTGTTTCTTTTGCTAGCTCAGGTGTTCTGTGTCAGTGACCCCGATGTCCCTTGCAGTGCCATTTTCCTATGCTCCATACTCTTCCCTGGCCTCCCCGTTCTCACGTACTTTGCTGTGCGCGCAGATGGCCGAGCCCAAAAGCTTCCAGGTGCCGCCTCTCCGGTCCATGCGGAGCATTCGTAGGATCTGAAGGAAACGGAGACTTCTGAGGGACGTCGCCAGGACATTGCCTTGGTTTCCAACGGCCACCACCGGCACAGAGGCGATCAGCACAAAGATATCTGTGAAGCACAGAGAAGATCTCAGAGGTCCTCTGAAACCTGAATGGTAGTAAGTATAGGAGGGAGAAGAGCTTATATTCTTTTGTTCCGAGCCTTTTCTAACTCTGTCTACCCTATTTTTGTTTCACAGTTTGTTGAAGGGATACGTGTCCAGGGCAGGGGTCCCCAGTGTTCTCAAGCCTGTCGGTACCATTGGAATTCTCACACAGCATAGTCAGTGGTGCCACAAAATGGCCGCCACAAAATGGCTGCTACAGAAGGTGGAGCCAGCCACAAAATGGCTGCTGCGGCTTACTTCAGCCACACAGTGAAGATCTTTGTGCTGAGGCTTACTTCAGCCACACAGTGAAGATCCTTGTGCCGCGGTAGCAGCTGCTGCCAAAGCATCATTTGAAAAATTTGCACAGCCTATTAGGAGACTTGTGTCAAACTCGGACTCTAGTTTGCCATGTTTTGGGGGAGTGGGGCCTGCAGAGGGAGGAAATTTCCTGAGGGAGGGGTGTGAGTGTGTTAACAGCTCTGTTGTAGTGGTGATGTAACTCTTCCTAAGATACCTCCCTTGTCAGGGATGACCTTGGAGCCTGACTGTGCCTGCTTTGCTGTTATAGATAAAGAAACCGTATATTCACAGATTGGGGGTATAGAGCGCATGAACACTAGGCGGGACGATTGTGGGGTATGATTGGATGTAACCAGGGGTCATTTAAAGATGAAAATGGCAAAGGTTTCCTGCAAAGAATGGGGGGGAAAACCAAGGGGGTCGCATTAACAAGCAGCCGGCTCTGTACTGCCTGCATCAATTGTTGGAGTGAGCGACTCTGCATAGGGTTGCCAGGTCCTTTCTTTCTGCCAGTGGGGGGTGGGAGGGAGCTTCCTGGGAGCGGGAGGGCAATGTCACCCTGCGCAGAAGTGACATCATCACACCGGGGATGGCACACAGCGACGCTCTGGTATTTTGGGCAAAACTCTACTGGTTACCATAGAGTTTGGCCCAAATACCAGAGTGTCGCCACACGGTGCCCCTGGTGTGATGATGTCACTTCCGCGTGACGTCATCACGCTGAAGATGTCACACCCGCCTGCGGCTATTGGAGGTGGGGCTTTCCCCCACCGGCCAGCTGGCCAGTGGTGGGCTGGAGCCCATAAAACCAGAGGATTCCCCCACTCCCACCTGAGAGCTGGCGACCCTAACTCAGCGTGCCTGGACATTGGGGTGGGCGTTACGTCGTTCTAAGGGTGTATAGGTGTTATCTCCTCTCTTTGTCTTAACCTGGGAACTGCCCTCTGAACTCCCCTCCTCCTCTCTCTCCCTTTGTCCTCTCCCTCACTTCACATGGCCTTCCATGGAGACACCTGTCTCTGCAGGTCTTGCCTGTAGAGACAATGCCCTTATCCTCCCACACACGTGATGCTGGACAAGCTGGCCATTGGTGACAGGGAGTAGGCTAAAAGAGGGGAGACAACCTCAAGCTCTCCCCATTTTGAGACCTCAGCATCCCTGGGATGACGGCAGAGCGAGGGTGGGCCAGGAGTGAGCAGGACAGAGCTCACGCCCCGGGAGTGCCTGTCATTTTGAAGCAGGGAGTTCCCAGCTGAGAACTCCTTTAAACTGGGCTGGGCTCCCCAATTCTCGTTGGGATCAGCATGACGCAGGGGAGGAAGGGCTCCCTCCTTCCCCCACATCATCTTTCTGACCCAACACTGCACTTGTGAGATGTTATTGGCTTGTATAATATTTCCCCAGCGACACCCGTATTATCTAGTTTGGCCCGGAGATGCTGTGTCTTGGCACCTCTTGGAGAATTCTAGCCCTGGGTCACAGCAAGAGATGACGGGGCGGGGATTTGGGGGGGAGGCGCTGTTGGTGATGGCATGAAGTCACTTCTGGGATTAACCTGGGAGTGACATTGCACCTCTCTAGGAATTTCCAGAACTTCTGTGGCGTAAATGCCCTCGCATTCTTCAAGTAAACTGTTGCACCCTCTGCTACCTTAGCACATGTATCTTAATTCTTGCTATTTGAGAAGGAAGATGAAAATATGAGTTGAAATTAGAAAACAAAGTTTTGTATTAAAGAAGTTTATTATTTGGATGGAAACACTTTCGTACAGCCATGCCAGGTAGGGAGGGGCTGTGGCTCAGTGGTAGAGTCTCTGCTTGGCACGCAGAAGGTCCCAGGTTCAATTCCCGGTATCTCCAGTTAAAGGGATCAGGCACTAGGTGATGTGAAAGACATCTATCTGAGACCCTAGAGAGTTGCTGTGAGTCTGAGTAGACAACACTGATGGATCAAAAAGAAGAAGAAGAAGAAGAGATTGGATTTATATCCTACCCTTCACTACCCAAAG